GGTAGCGGTGTGCAGAGATCACAATGGCCTATATCTAGGGTCGTCGGCGCTGGTCACACAAATGGCCGACCCGGCAACACTGGAGGCGTATGCAGTACGGGAGGCTCTCGCCCTGGCTGAGGATCTTGGAGTTCAGCGCCTACTTGTTGCTTAGGATTGTCTGACAGTGATCAACGACATTCATCATGGCACCGGTGGACGGCATGGAGCGGTGATCAGGGAGATCATCAACCGTTCGAAAGCCTTTATTTCATGTAACTTTATTCATGAGCATAGACTAATGTAGAAGCACACAATTTAGGAAAGTATTCCTGTAACATAGGATTGGGCCGACATTTGTGGTTGGGAATCCCCCACGACTAAGATCTTGTACTCATGAACATCTCTGAAGTTTAATAAAGTGGAACAAGATTTCTCTCTCTCTCTCTCTCTCTCTCTCTCTCTCTCTCTCTATATATATATATATATATATATATATATATATATATATATATATATATATATATATCAAATCCTGCTAAAAAATATCAAATACTATGTGTACTCCCAAAATCAATAAGGGAGAGAGAGACAGACAGACAGAGAAAGAGGCCAAATTCAGTTAGCAAAAGGAAAGAGAATTGTGAGTTGACGCATTAGTAGGAAATCCGCTGCGAGTATTCAAAACACACACCACATGGCAAAACCCTGCTAACACTAACGAACAACAGAGAGTTCAGGTACAACTGTCCATAGGAAACAAAAAAGAGCTGCCCGAAATTCAGTTACTCCATATACCACTTATATATACATTTATATGCAGCCACTTCAGGCCAGTTGGAACATGGAAATCTCAAAGGATTTATATAATATTTAAACTTTTTCTTCAAAATGTTAGGTAGACTTGCTCTCAATTTCTTGATTAGAAATAAACTAACCCCTCTGTAAAGCAATGTAAGACGTTTTGGCAGTCCTACAGGACCACAAGAAAATGTGTTTCTTAAACCTGTTGTTTCAGTTCATTTGTACCTCGTGTTTAGAATGAAAGCCATCAGTTGGGGGCTCAGGTGATATTGTCCGCAATGTGCAAACGCTTCCCCAAGATGTGAAAACAGATGCCAGAAAAGGACAGGAGCAAAAAACTTGATACAAATTCAAGCAAACCACACACCAATGTTCAACCTTCTTTGCAATACTGAAGACAAACCATACACGACCGTAGCGGATACAACACTCGACATACAGCTCTTGCTGAATGGGGATTTCACTCTTGGCACAGTTTTAGCAGGTTTGAACAAGGATTTCGGTGGTACATATAGCAGTAGTGATGGTGATGTATACATCTCCATATTACAACATCAGTGCCGCATTCTAAGCAGCAACGAGTGTGGTCACTGCCGGAACCTGGACTTGCCCCGGAGTTGCCAGCTGACTGATGTTCGCCGGACGAATCCGGCCGCTTGCGAGCCCGGCAGTCAGGTCCTCCACTTCCACTTTCAATACGTCTCGGCGGTTGCCAATGTCACCTGCGTACCTGCTGACACAGTACACCCCGACTGCCATCACCGCCACTCCATAGATGTTCGTGGTTACTAGGCGGAAAGGGGTCGAAACCACAGCAGCAAGAGGGCCGCCGATGATGGACACAGCCTGCCCACTCTGCCCGAGCCCGACGTTGCCCTGCTCAGCCACAAGCAGACCAGTCTTGCAGTATATCGCAAAGTCCTCGCAGTTGTTCTTGAACAGGCTGTAGCACCTGAAACCATTGGTCAACAAGTATTTGGCGCGTCGGACAACCACCTCGTCGGGATCAGTGGCGGCAAGCGTGCAGGTCCCTCCTCGCACTTTGGCAAGGAAAAGCGCCGGGTTGACGTCATACTCGAAACGGTAGAGGGCACCCCCTGCCAGGAAACAGCTGAGGCAAGAGGATGTCACACCATTTGTCTCCGCGGTGGTAGTGGCTTCTTCGCTGCTGCATACCAAGCATGGCGTGGTGCTCCTAGTAGGGCCAGAACTCACAAGAAGAAAATCAATGACCGTTCCTGTTCCGACCTCTTGGTCCCTTCCTCTGGTAAAATGAATCACCTTATCATCCCCCACATATATTCCTGCATAGAAACATACGGTTATACACGCACAAAGCTACAAGAGTGAAGCACCTATTACTGTTCTGACAAAATGCACAGATAATTTCCGACATGGTGGCAACAGAGGTTTCCGCTACAGCTAGACCAATCATCTATCTTTTGCAATTTCATAACTTGATTTCCTGGTAAGTATTTTCTCACATACACAAGTTGATACCCCCTATATAGTATGGGCTGAGTAAACATATGCTATACACAGAAGAGGTTTGCATTCACGCGTCCAAACCAGAGTGGCTGGTGGTGACAACCATCTGTTATGCAGCAAATCAAAGCACTAAACGGTTACCAAAACCGAGCTGTGGAC